CTTGAATATTCACATTTGGAAATTTGTAGCTTTCTTCGGGCAAAACATCCATTAATCTTACAGCGCTGGCGCGAGAACTAGTAGATCAGTGCGTCGCATTGCAGAGACTACAAAATATCATAACTCCCGTTTTGATTTGCTTTCTTCTTATCGGTTGTCAAAATTATTTATGCAACTCTACGTTTATAACTGGAAAAAGGCCACTAATGGCACCTGAGATGAGAAATGAATTCAAACAGGCGATCACAGCTGTCGGCTTGAACCGGAAACGGACGTTAAGTTTTCCTACTTCGAAGGCTGCATCACCTTTTGACCGGCTACAGTTGCATGGTATTTTCAATACTCTTAGCGGGTTTTTTTTTTCATATTCGGAGCCAAGTTGTGAAATTGCTAAATTATCATTAAATTAAAAAATTATTATTATCTTCTAATGCATATAAACCCTAACGCACAACTTGAAGTTCGTTCCCTTTTTATTCACAATACCGCACATCCACAGGCACGCACATATTGCCGCCAGCCCACAAAACGTGGCAATTCACAATCGTTGTGCAAACTCTGCTCCCTGTACGTTTCTTCGTGCCTGTTACGGGAGTGACTGAAATGACGCGATTTCTCGTCAATGCTACCGCCGAGACAAGAAAAAAATAACGTAAACACGACAACGACAACGTGTATGACCACCGTCAATGGCAGCAGCAACGCGTAGTTGCTTGGCTGACAGGCTGGTAAACAACTAATCTTCTTGACTTGCGATATATGTACATACATATGTGTACATAACGTTACGCTGTGCCATTGTGCGCCGGCATGCATGCAAGCAAGCAAGCAAGCATGTGTGTGGTGGCCTGTATACAGCCATGTGAAATAGCACGCGCGGTAGAGCATAACATAACGACGATGGTGGCGCGGCCGCTCACGTTGCCAACGCGACCATTTTGCGTTATTGGATTTATCGCCCGCTATACTGTTGTCTCACTTACACTTATGTATTTATCAATGTCAGGCATATTTTGTTAACGCCTTGTCTGCTTGCTAGCGCATTTTGTGCGCCTATTCATTTAGTGACTCACATGACGCGATGTTTTTACGTTCGCCAGTCACGACGCATCGCTTATGTGATTAGCTAGCGTTACCTAGCAGGCAGGCGTTTGGGCCCGCCGACTGGCAGACCAACCAGGTGGTCTGTTAAAAGGCCACCGTTGCTGGTGCCGGGCGATGAACGAACACATGGTATGATGATGGTGGTGTTGGCGTGCACAGAAGCGTGTGTGTTGCCAACGTGCGCGCACAGAGGGCGCCATGTGCTGCCACTGAACAGAAGGGGTGTGTTCACTGGCATTCGGGCTTGGGCTGTTGCAGCGATAATCACTACACTGTGCGCTCTTATTGTAGCGGGTGGATACATATACAATGTGTATTGTATTAGCACAGCAGTGTTGCTGTCACACAGCTGAGCCAATCATATGGTTTGCCGCGCTTTGCACAATTATCAGTTCGCTAGCTGATTTTGCTGGTCGCCTGTCAGCTTCGGGTGGATTTTACGCGCGAAACTGTGAAAAAGTAGCGGCCGGTGTAAACTTGCTTGGTGCGCGCGTTGCTTGCGGTGGTGGTGTGGATGTGTGTGCTTGTGGTGTTTGTTGTGTTTGTTGTGTGTTGGGCGCCGTGTTCTATGCAACACTGAAAATCTCAACCGCTTTTTGAAGAACCAACCAGAAACGCAAGAAGCTGGGAGGGTTGGAAGATGTATTTCATATGGCAGTATGTCTGTAGATATATGTACATATATAATATTTCAAATAACACTTATGTTATGCCATTTGCTGTCAATATGCACACACTTTTTTGTAGTCATGGTAAATTTCAACTCCTTCCTATGGGCGCTATAGTATTTTACAAAGACCCATCTTCTTCCATCTTTGTTTTCACAATTCGTGGGAGCCCTTCAGGAGACTTATTTCCTTTAGAGAAAAGCGGTATTTTTCATAGAATTCTTTACATTTCTTCCACGTACCCTTTTGCTTTATTGTTTTTTGCGGTTCTTTTCTTATTTTTGATTTATTTAAATAATACCAATAAACAATAATAATTGATTGATATAAGTTTCCACTCTGTTGACTGCAATAGCCGAGTCTCTAGCATTACGCACAGCCATTCTGAAGGTCAGGATTCGAGTGCTGGTCCGGCCAATATCCATTATAATAGGAAATATATTCTTCTAATTGCGGTCGCGGCAAAAAATGGTGCAATCGATTTTCGTCGGCTTTTCTTGAGATGGATGCATATCAACCTCCTAATCAAATTCTCGCTGCATCTGGCGAGTAATTATCGATATGTAGGGTCTTGCGTTGTTCTGATGAAATACAATTTCCCTTCTGTTGGCCAAAATCGGGCGCTTCTGAGCAATTGTTTCCTTCAGACGGTCCAATTGCTTACATTGTAGGTCCGAATTAAGAGATTCGCCATAGCGGAAAAGCTCTTAGTGTCTAATTCCTTGCAAATCCCACCAAAACCACAATAAAACCTTCCTGATCGTCAATCCTGGTTTCGAGACCGTTTGTGCTGGACCATAGTCTCTTTGGACGCGACCGTTTTCGTTTGACGTTGCTGTAGGTGACCCACTTCTCATCTTCAGTCACCATCCGCTTCCGAAATATGTTGATTTCGTCACAATTCAGTAGCTATTCGCAGATTGAAACTCGATCCTCGGTACCGTCAACTCATGGGGTACTCATACATCGAGCTTCTTTGTGTTTCTAGTCTTTTTCAAGTGGTTCCAAACGGACTTTTGCTCAAAGTTTAGCTCTTTTGCAATCGAAAATCGAAGCAATGACTTGACGATTTCCATTCCTTTACCGAATTTATCGACAATAAGCATTCCTCACCATGGAACATCTTTTAAATTAAAATTACCGAAACTAAATTTTTATAATATATGCAGGTATAATATGGCTATCCATTGTGAATGGTGCTCAACAGAAGAACTACAATCGAAATTAAAGTTATTTCTCGTGTAAACTTTTGCCAAAAATGTTGTATTTGTGGCGACTTGGTTTTGAAAAAGCATTCAATTTTAAAATGAAAAATATCAATAAAATATGTATGTACAAGTATGTAATAAGATTATGTACTACATACTTATGTATATGTAAGCAAGATGTACGAAAAATAAGCAAAAGCTAACAAATCGAAGCGGTGTTCGGCATGCAAACTTCAAACTTCAAGCTAAATCTTGAACCGAACGAATCGCCGCCGCTACTGTATACATACATATATGTATATGTATATCATACAAATCGCACGAGTGTGAACAAACGAACCATTCTAGGAACTTGCTTTAGACGCCACACCAGGCGTACAGAAAAATAAACGATGCGATTGACCTAAATTCACCATTTGCACATTTCGCAGCCAAAGAGCATTAAATACAAAAAAAAAAAAAAACAGAAACCAACAAGCGAATGTGCAACACGCCAATATAAAACAGGTACATATGTATGAATGTAAATGTATGCACTGTATGCATATACAGACGAGCAAATGTAGTAAGCAGATAAATTACATACATTTGTATGTACATACATATTTACATACATATATATGTATGTATTTGCTGAATTTGTACTAGAGTAGTGACGAAGATGAGTGGAATCATTGAATTATCCATAATTAATTTAATTTTTCTTGAAATTTTTTATTTTATTTTATTTTACTCTGTTTTTTTTTTCAATTTATTTTATTTTATTTTAATTTCTTTATTTAAATATTTTTATTTTATTTTATATTCTTTGATTTAATATATTATATTTTATTTTCATTTATTTTAGTTGATTTTATATTCGTTTACTTTACTTAATAGTATTTTATTTATTTTGTTTTAATTAAATTTAAGTTATCTTACTTCAATTTAATTTATTTTAATTTATATATTTTTATTTTATTTTATATTATTTGATTTAATTTAATTTAATTTAATTTTTATTTATTATAATTTCCTTTATTTTGAAAGATTTTATTTTATTTTATTTTCTCTTCTTTTTCTATTGTATTTTATTTATGTTGTTTTAACTAAATTCAAGTTAATTTATTTAAATTTATTTTAAGTTATTGTATTTAAAATTTTTTGTTTAATTTATTTAATTTTAAAATATTTTATTTAACTGAATTTATTTATTTTAATTTACTTTATTTTATTTTATTGTGTTTTGGTATTTTTTTATTTTACGTTGCTTTATTTTGTTTAGTTAAAATTGACTTAATTTATTTAATTTAATTTAATTTAATTTAATTTAATTTATATATTTATTAATTTTATTTTATTTTATTTTATTTTATTTTATTTTATTTTATTTTATTTTATTTTATTTTATTTTATTTTATTTTATTTTATTTTATTTTATTTTTTTTTCTTTTATTTTATTTTATTTTCACTTATTTCATTTTAATTTATATTAATTGATTTTATTTTATTTTCGTTTATTTTATTGTATTTTATTTATGTTGTTGTAACTAAATTCGAGTTAATTTATTTAAATTTATTTTATGTTATTGTATTTAATATTTTCTATTTAATTTATTTTATTTTAAAATATTTTATATAACTGAATTTATTTTAATTTGTTTTTTTTTTTAATTTGCTTTATTTTATTTTTTTATGTTAAGTTGTTTTATTTTATTTTTTTTTTATTCTTTTATTTGCTTTCATTTTCTTTCCATATATTTAATTTTGTTTTGTATTATTTTTATTCACTGTAATTTATTTTATTTATTTTTTTGTTCAGTGTAATTTTATTCAACTTAATTTTATTTTATTTATTGTATTATATATTTATATTTAATTAAATGCAATTATTCTAATTTTTTTTTTGTTTGTTTGATTTATTTAATTCTTTATACATGAACGTAATAATGAAAGTAAAAAATTATTAAAAAATCAAAATACACCCAAAAAACTCGCCATGCCTTCAGTGCTTGTTGTGGGTACACCACATTTCCTTCATTTAAATATGCCTTGCGTCGCGTGCCCGTTTCCCCATTTCCTTTAGTTCCATAGGACTGTAAACGTAGCGCGGTGCATTCGTCTCATCCAACAGTTGTGGTCTTTTATGCGGCATGGCGTAACGTAGTTTGCTCCAGAACCAGGGATCATTCCATTTCAAGTAGGTGTTCATCTTCAAATACGCCTGTAGCTCCGTATCGAGCCCCTCCATGTGTGTCACCTCACCCAACATGATAATTATAATGCGCGCGCGGCCCTCGTTCAATGCACTTTGATGTGCCGTACGAAATTCCATGCGCGCCCAGGGCGATTCGATGAAGTGTTGCGACAAAACAATTATTGTACGACACGATTGCTCCACAGATTCGATTATCTGTTCGGGTATATAAGCACCAGCAAGCCAATTACGCTCATGTGTACACACTCGAAAGGCTATATCGCCTTGTTCCAAGCCTGGTAGTAGCTCTTGGACGACGAAACTTTCATCTTTATGCGAATATGAGATGAATGCGTCGAACAGTTTATCTTTATCCAACTCGCGCTCCGATACACACCACAAGCAGACATTGTGCGCATACAACCAAACATTAATCTCAAGTTGATATTTGAAATAGAGCGCGCTCGCAATGGATATGAAGAAACCGAAGGCCAAGAGGCTTATGCTCGTGAAGAGTAAACTCAAATCTGCTGGACAAATGTCGTTGTAGGCGAGCTCGAGTATTTTCGGATACTGCGTGTTGGCGCAACGCAGCTCATCCAGATCACGTATACGATTGTAATGCACCTTGGTGCTAATGAGTAATTGCTCGGTAGTGCAGTCGCACTCCCAAGCGTTATGCGACAAATACAACTCGCTCAGCGTTTGTGTATCATTGAGTAACGAATAGAAACTGGCGCTGAGTTGCGTCAAGCGGTTATGGCGTACATCAAGGGACATCAACGGTGCAGGCAATTGCGTGGCGCTAATATTTCGCAGCAGATTTCGAGCAGCATATAGACGCGTTACATTTGCATAACCGCTGGTTGTGTTAAGGGGTAACACTGTTATATTGTTATCAGTGAGGTGTAGCTCGATAGATGTCAGTGTTGTTTGCGTCAGTGAGGGTAGAGCGGGTATCGTCGTCAATTGCATGCGCGTGCAGTTCACAATAAGTGTAGCGTCGTATGTGCGCGCCCAACAACGACAGCCTGCCGCACAAAATTCCGCCTTTACGGGGCATAAGAGCTCACCGGGTTGCAATGTATCGACGAGGCGACCTCGCAGTGGTATTGGTGTGTCACAGCTCAAGTTGGTTGTGTTCAGTTGGGTTTGCGCATTCAAATAGTCTAAACGCTTGCCAAGTACAAAGTCCAATAAGTGACAGTCACAGTGTAGCGCATTGTAGTTTAATGATATATTGCTTCGACAAGTTAACGCCTGTATCGCTTTACCACTTGCTATGCGCGCGGGCACCACAATGCTTTGCAGTGCGTTGTGCGACAGGTCGACGCGCGCCCAACTGCAAGCAAGCGCAACCAAGGCGGGCGCGCGCAACACTTCAATACGGTTGTACGCCAAATCAAACAGTCCCATCTTACGCATCCACGGCTGCTCGCATATATGCGTTAGCGCGTTGCTACGCAATAACAATTCACTCATATATTTAAAGGGCGCAAACGTCGCGCACATATCCGACGCGTTCAAAGCAATTTGATTATATTGCAAATGTAAACGTTGTAGCTCATTATTCGATGCAAATATCTGTGGCGCTAAGCTGCGTAGTTGATTATTATTTAAAAGCAATACTTTCATATAGTTCAACGGCGCGAACAAAGTGCTGGGTAAGCGCTGTAATTTATTGTGCGATAGTCGTAGTTCTTGTAGTGCGTGTGTGTGCGCAAATAAGTTCGCAGGCAGCTCCTGCAGTAGATTCTCACTCAAATCGATGCTTATAAGTTTTTTCTGTTGCGCGAACATAGTAGCGGGCAATGCGCGTAAGCGATTCTCACTTAAATTGATGCGCAAGAGCTCTGTTAGTGACGCAAGCGCGTACGCTGGTATTTGTGTCAGTTCATTACGTGGCAAATGCAGTGATTGCAGTTGTATTAAATACTGAAAATCCACATTCAACATACTCGGCAATGCGCCATCACTTAGCACGATATTTATCAAACGGCGCTGCGCGCGGAATATACTAAGTGGGAGTTGTGCGATATGCGCTTTCAGTGTAAGCCCTATTAAGTTGGGTAACGGTTGGAAAATATCCAGCGGCAGCGCGACAAGGTTGTCCGCTTGTATATCTAGAAATTTCAATTGCGCATAATCGACGAATAAGTCAGCGGCGAACTGTGTGTATGCGTTCAGCTTTAAACTATCCACAGGCAAAGCTTTTGGTAGTTGCATGCGTGTTAAGTTAGTGTTTGTTATTGTTGTTTTGGTTGCTAAAGCAACAGCGCTTAATTCCAGCAGCTTGCTTTTGTATATACCAAAGCGTTGCATAATTGCATCGAGTTCATGACAACCGCTGAACACCAACAACATTAGATCGGGTCCGATGTTTAGCGCGGGCAGCGCGTCAATGAGGCTCTTACTCTCCCGTAAACCACGACAATGCACGCGCACTTGTGCGCTTCTGTAGATAACAATTGTTAGTGTTGTATTGCTATCACCACTCAGCGCGTGGTTGTTGTTTTGCGTATTTAGCGCGCACACAATTTTCATATTCGCATCATCTTCATGTCGACACGCACAAATCGTTTTCACACTCATCTCATCACATTGTGGATATGTGATAACAGCGGCGGCGCGTTGCTGATGCAAGGCGTAAAGTAAAAGTAAAAGGATTTTTTGAAATTCTAACTGTTTGCGTGCCATAATTACAATACTTTTTTTATGATTTTAATGCGCGCCACAAGTGCGCCCTCCATAACATTAAACTTTATACTGAATTTAATTAAATTAAAATTGCGCGAAATTAGCGGAAATTGAAAGCGCTTGAGTTGTTGTGCGAACAAGCGCGCTTATTGTTTTTGTATTCTCGTAAATCTCTTATCAATGGCTTTTATAGAATTTACAGTGGAAATTCGAGTGAATTTCGTTTGTATAAAAAGTCTCAGTTTCACTTTGCCGCAGAGTGTTTGGCTGATAAAATAATAATTTTTTCCAACACCTACGTTATATTACAGACAATTAACAATTTAATTGAGTTCATATCAATTTGGTGTTCAGGCATATATTATTTTTACCGTCGTCAATTAGTACTGAGAGGTGGCAAAGCGGGAATTTTTCTATTGCCTTTTTTCTATTTTATATAAAATTTTATTAATAATTCTTTTTCTTATGTTTTGTCCGAACTAAATAAAATAATTTAAGGATTTTTATGACATCAATCATATTTTTATTCATATTCAGTCAGATTACTTATTCTTACGTATCCCTCCTCGTCCCCTCGAACTGCCTGAATATTGCTCGTAAGGACCGGAAATACATCCTTAACCTGACCTTCATAGATCATAGAAGGAGAGTAATTTCTCGGTGCTCTGAATACCTCAATATTCGTCAAGTCGACTGAGTAGTAATATCCCAAGGAGGGAGTAGTTCCTCTATACCTGTTGTGGTGACGTGATGACGTTTTGGGTGTGGTGTGATGTGATGTTGTTATGGTGATGTGTTGACATCACGTGTTGACTATGACTTTTATCTTTGTATTGATATGGTTGTATTAGCTTCATATGTTTGACTTTGGGTTCGTTACGAAATGGAAATCACTGTAACGGTGTAATAGGGTGTAGACACTTGGTTTGGGAGTCACCACGTAAGAAATGGGAGTCACTTACAAGCATGCATCTGGACTATGCGGCCTCTTAAATGGAAAGGTGTCGCTACACCGAAGCTAGCATTAGCGCCTTCCAAGTAGTAAGATGAACGGGACAAAGACAGAAGAGAATGAAGCGCAAATTTCCTATAAATTTTCTAATGGGTGACATATCAGCAACTCGGTATAAAGGAATTGTGCGACGGCATTTCAAGTTAGCTACCTCCGTCGCTAAAGAAGCCAAAGTCGGATAAAGAGCTGGTGCAAAGAGGATGCGGAACCGCATTGGGGAATGAACAAACCGCCTATCTGGCAAGGATGAGATCAATAACAAAAAAAGTGCAAGGGAATGAAAGGCTTGACTGTCAAGAGCTCAAGAACCTGGCCGAGAGGCATAATGCTCAAAAACTATGCGCAAAGATGAGGCGACATATAAAAGGCTTGAAGACAATAACATTTTCAGGTACGAGCCAATTAGGCAATTTGTTGACCGATGTTACCAGAAGATATTGAGTTTATGGAGGGATCACAATTTCAGCCTGTTGAATGGCTCATGAACTCCCATAACTAATCGATGATGATGGAAAAGGCGTTCCAATACCCGACTGAGATGATACTCTAAAAGCGATGGTCCGTTTATATTATAAAAAAATGGTGGTAGCTGATAGCTTACCGGATGTGCCATTTGAATATCGCTCTGGTACAAATTTCGACATTTTCAAATGAATGACAGTACCTTTGAAGTGACTAGTGGAGCCCTCTTCCGATTAGCTGAAAGTACTTCAGTTTTGACATTATGCTATTGATCATAGTCCCATCTAAACTGGAACAAAATTTGTACTGTCGCAAGTCGAAGCAAACTCAAACGAAATGTGAGCAAAAAAGGTCAAATGGCTAATATTCTCTTCCTGAAGTTGTTGTGGTAGCTGCAGGAACGACGAAACTCTCTTTCAGAAGTTGTTGTTGGAGCTGTAGGAATGACGAAACTCTCTTTCAGAAGTTGTTGTGGAAGATGCAGGAATGACGACAAGGTAAGGAAGGATTTTCTACCGGTTATGTGACTCGACTTTAGAACCTTTTACCTGAGAGCCTTTTGTATTTTATGACAACTTTGGTGCTAGAGATTTTAGATAAGTCGGTCTGAGAGCACCAATAAGGCCAGCTTGCAGCAGAGTGCAAGAAGAATCGGAAAGGCTGAAGTACTACCCTGACAAACATGGTGGTGGAAGAGAAAAAACCTTGAAAGATTTACTACGAGCTTTTAAAACCGGGTGAAACCATCACAGGAGATCGTACTGATGCGCCTTAGTCGCGCGCTAAAAGAAAAGCGACCAAAATATCAAGGGCGGCATGACAAAGTCATCCTCCAACACGACAATGCTCGACCTCACGTCGCAAAAGTGGTCAAAAAGTACCTGGAAACGCTGAAATGGGAAGTCTTGCCCCACCCGCCGTATTCCACAGATGTCGCCCCTTCTGACTTCCACCTAATCCGTTCGATGGCACACGGCCTGACAGATCAACATTTTCAATCCTTCGAAGAATTGGAAAAATGCATTGCTTCATGAATAGCGTCAAAATAGGACTCCTTTTTTCGAGCAGGGATCCGAAAATTGCCGGAAAGATGGGAGAAAGTTGTTGCTAGCGAAGGGTAATACTTTGAAGAATATATCTGTAAGCACTTTTTCGCAAAAAAGCTTTTAATTTTGGAAAAAAACGGCGGAAGCAAAATTGTACACCTGACATTGTGGAGTTTTTTCTTATACAATAGAATACATAAAGTTTTTGGTATAAATTATTTATTTCTTTCCAATATTTTTTTTTTGGCATCAAATCGCCCAAAATTTAAATGAAAAATTTTCAACAAAAAAACGAAAAATTATAGAGAAATACATTTAAAGTTTGCTTTATTCTCAACACATTCTCAATCCAAGCGTAGGCATTTTTCTATTGTTAACTTTGCACACTTTCACATTACAGCAATAACATCTCACCTTTGTTGTTGCATTGCTCAAGGACAAGTGCATACTATATGCATATATATTACCGTTAATATGGTGCAGTACACTTAACACACAATAGTTAATGGTGCCGACTCGCTTTCTGCATTGCTGCGCTGACATTGTTGTTTTTGGGACAGGGGAGAGAGGGGGAGGGGTGGAGAAAGCACTCGATTGTTGCTTACAAATCGTTCAGCGTTTTTCAAGTGTTTAATGGTTTTCGATTGCAATGCATTTAAAGGAAAGTTACAAACATCTTTATACCTACATACATATATGAGTTTATACATTTTCACCGACCTACAAATTACGAGTGCATATTACATACATACATATTTATCAAATTATGGGATTCAAGCTTTGAACTAAAAATATATTATATGTGTTATTTTTCTCTTTCAATCGTTATGATTTTTTTCAAGAATAAGCAGTTTTGAGAGCCTACCTGGTTGGGCAGTCGATACTCTCTATCCTTAAAGAGAGTAGGATCACGTAACTTCTTGTGATCCTATTTTTCTGCCATGTTTGTCACGAATTGAAGTGAAAGAACATCTCTTAAGTGTTGCTCACATTTTTGAATAGTAGACGGAAGCACTGCCTTGCTAAATATATAAGGATATCCTCGTCTATAAATTTAGATCCACTATAAATATTGAGAATTCCGCACTCAAATCCCTACAATGATCAGGCAGTCCAAGAGAGTCCGTCGTTCGTTCGGGGTCTATATCAGATTTGAAACAACAAATATCCGTTTTAAGATTTATCATCCTTTCGGAGGCGCCTTAAAAACGTAGCACGCTCAATTCGTTGCAAGAAACCATTATGTTGCTAAACATAAAATGTTGCTAAACATAAAATATTGATAAACATAAAATATTGCTAAATATAAAATGTTGATAACCATTAAATATTGCTGAACATAAAGTGTTGATAAAAAAGAATTTTTGATAAACAAGAATTGTTGATAAACAAAAATTTTTGATAAACATAAAATATTGGTAAACATAAAATATTGCTAAACATAAAATATCGCTAAACATGAAATATTGTTTAAAATTAAATTTTTCTATAAGACGTTGCCAAACATAAATTGTTGTTAAACATAAAGTGTTGATAAACAAGAAATGTTGCTAAACATAAAATATTGATAAACATAAAATATTGATAAACATAAAATATTGCTAAATATAAAATGTTGATAACCATAAAATATTGCTGAACATAAAGTGTTGATAAAAAAGAATTTTTGATAAACAAGAATTGTTGATAAACAAGAATTGTTGATAAACAAGAATTGTTGATAAACAAGAATTGTTGATAAACAAAAATTTTTGATAAACATAAAATATTGCTAAACATAAAATATTGCTAAACATAAAATGTTTCTAAACATAAAATATTGCTGAACATAAAATATTGCTAAACATAAAATATTGCTAAACATAAAGTGTTGATAAACATAAAGTGTTGATAAACATAAAGAGTTGATAAACAAGAAATGTTGCTAAACATAAAATGTTGCTAAACATCAAACGTTGATAAATAAAAAAATGTTGCCATTTAGAAAAATGTTATCGAGTCAAATATGTTGCAAACATTTTTCGTTTTTTTCAATAAATTTAATAGGAAAAGCCTGCATGACCGCATGGCTATACATACATATGTCTGTACCTATGTACGTGTATGTATATAATATAATATGAGCGTATAACATACAATAAAGGCACACAAGCACGTGTGCACTTTTCAGGATATGGGTAATTGTACAGTATTGTATGTTTATGTGTGTGTGTGTGTGTGTTGGTTAGCTTCCTTCAAACACACACAAAAATAAGCGGAAACATTCTTTTACAAGTATATTGGTCATACACATACATGTATATACACGTATCTATGCATGTGCATTTGTCTGTCTTTCGGTTGTTGAATTTACGTGACGACTAAATGCCGGCAACACACATCAGCCAAGACATCAGAGCAAATACAGCCGCATTTGTAAAAATATAACATAAAAAGGCAAAGTAAAAAAAGATACATTAAAAAACAACAAAAAAAAAAAA